AAGTTTCTAAAGAATCTTTAACATTATCCGTGACGGCCTATTTTTATTTTCTCCTTTTTTTTAATATCTAATATTTTTACATGCTGCTTGTAAGAGAACCTGTTGTTAAAATATTTGAATCCCACCACTGACTCTAGGACTTGTATTTGATCTACAGATAAATGATGGAATAGTGTAATTTACTTCTGTACGTTAATTCGGTCTCACTGTATTTCAGTGGGCGGCTATTGAAAATTAAAACTGCAAGTAATACACACAAATAAGGTAACACTGTATCGTATTTACTTAACGTAGGGCAGTTGCGCTATAACCTAGTGGAGGGCATAATTATCAATTAATAGGAATTATAGGCCAGAGGAAATTTTGCGCCCCTTCACACCTGCGCCCGGGGGTGAGTGCCCCCAGGCCCCCCTCTTGCTACACCACTGGTTAGCATCAGTATTGTTACCGAAAACTGAAATTTCGAGAAACTCTCCACACGCCTATATATATAACCAACGCGACGCGCCAAAAAACAGTATCTATTAGTCGTTTACTGTAGTTGGTGTGCTATAAACTTCCGAAGCTATAACTGTGATTGTTATAACACCTATTAATCGAGAAACTTCATATATTTGACCAAGAACATTTATAAATTTCGAATATTAAAAACCATTTAACTTCAGTAGATTCATATCGGAATTAGTACTTTTACTAAGATATTATATAACTTCAGCGGTAAAAGAAACTCGACTTGTAATCGGCGTGTGATCAGCGAGAACTACAGAGTTAGCTAGCTCCCTATTAAGTGAATTGTATCTACATCAACTCGAAATTAACTCGCTCATCATAAGCCCTCCATAAGACATCATGGAAGTTCCAGACTAAAAATAAGACTTTAAATTGCCTGTACAGGCGCGGATCCAGGGGGTCTGGACCCCCCTCCTGCTCGGGCAAAGCATAATTAATTTTTTTTAATATCTAGATAAAGAAATTTTATAAATAAAAAACTAAAAAAAACCCAAGCAATCATAACTTAACCTTAAAAACAAAATTTATTATTTTGTTTTTTTA